ATGCCTGCCTTGGTGAATAAAAAGCAGTGGAATAGACACTGCTTGACTCCCAACACTAGGTCTTCAAAATTCAGGTGACTTCTGCCTGCCTTTCTTTTTCTCTTGAACTTCCTGCCCTTGGAACCCGGTCACCATGTCCCAGACCACATCATGAGGTTGTGTGGAGGTGCTCTGAACCACAGTCTCTGCTAAGGTTTCAACCACCAGCCAATGCCAACCACCGGATATGCCAGCAAGTAAACCTTCAGGTGACCCCTGCCCTGGGCACGCAAGCAATCCTCCTGTTGGTCAAATGGAGCGAAGAAAAGCTAGTGCCACCAAGACCTGCCCAAAATGCAGATTAATGAGAAAAGTGAATGTTTTTGTTGTTTTATCAAACCCCACTAAGTTTTAGGGTAATTGTTATGCAGTCATAGTAACTAGAAAACTATCATCTTACCTTAAGTTGTGAACAATTTTTGATTCCAAAACCTACCAAAGGTTTTCAGATAAGACACGTACACTATAATCATGCATTTGTATATCTATTTTTCAGTGGAATTGGAAATTCTCTGAAGACAAGAACTAAGTCTTTTTATCTTAGTATTCTCAGAGCCAAAGTCTGAGAGTTAGTAGGTCCTTCTTTTGTTTGTTGAACAAAAGAAGAATAAACCAAAGAAAAAAGCACAGTTCCAAACAAGTGGCTATTTCAAAATAATTGTTTAGGAGTCTATACTTTATTCAGTTCAATTCATTGCCCAAAAGTAACCTAGAATGTCTTATTTTTACAATTATTTTCAGTTTATAAACCCTAAAAAAGTTTCATTCGCCTTTCTATTTTGTTTTAATCCTAAAATATTATCTGTTATGATTATGTATTTTATCCATCAAACCATGTTCCAAATTATCCTTGGCTGTTTCCAAAAAATCAAATGCATCTTTAAGGATGAATGTTTTTCTATCACTTAGAATAATAAAAATAATTTGAAATAAACTCTCAAGGTGATTCCAAAACAGGAGATTGCATTGTTTTTGAACAATGCAGTGCTCAAGTGCCATGCAATGCAATGTGTTGATGCAAAGACTTCGGCATCCATGGTGACACCTTTAAAAGAAACAAAACCCCACTAATTTGGAGTGTAAATTCTACTTTGCATGACGAAAATGTAAGTTTATTCATCTCATGACCACATATCATAACACACATGTATCTAACTTTATGAAAAGAAAGGGAGGAAAGGAGATAAAGTCCATAACGTCATAAAGGCATGAATAGATAACTTCAATTAATGTTCCTGTTGGGAACACCTACTGTGTTAGCCTGTTCTCATGCTGCTAATAAAGACATACCAGAGACTGGGTAATTTTTAAAGGAAAGAGGTTTAATGGACTCAAAGTTCCATGTGGCTGGAAAGGCCTCACAATCATAGCACAAGGCAAAGGAGAAGCAAAGGCATTTTGGAGTTAGGCAAGACAGCATGTGCAAGGCAACTCCCATTTATAAAACCATTGGATCTCCTGAGACCTATTTACTACCATGAGAACAGTCTGGGGGAAACCATCCCCATGATTCAATTATCTCCACCTGGCCCTTCCCTCGACTTGTGGGGATTATTACAATTCAAGGTGAGATTTGGATGAGGACACAAACCATATCCCCTACTTTAGCTCTTCCTCGGGAATGTGCGAATGATGAAATAAATAAGGCACTACTTTTACAGTTTTGCTGCCCAACATTGGTTTGGTTTGACCTTAATGAATCCTTGCTAGCCTGTTTTCCTCCTTCCACACTTTAAGTCAAGGGTTTGAAGGGGGTTGCACGGAAGAGCAGCCCAGCATCATTCACATTCAGAGGAAACATCAATGTGATGGCAAAAAGAAAAAAGAGTTGTTGAGATAAATATAAACACAGTCTCTCAAAAGAATGCCAAAGGGGGGATGAATCTTTCAACCCACAGCAGAAGTTCTTGAAAAGCTGATTTCACCTTTGCCTTCTCTCTGATATGGCACAGGGCCCAGCCATGGGCCTTTCTCTTCCTATTCTTTCGTAACCCCTCCCTCTACCCCTCTCTCTCCGGTTCCCCTTCCCAAACACACCCCAATGTGTCCTTCTTTCTGTCCTACCCGTCTCATCTTCTGAATCTGTTCTTGTCTCCTGGACTAGTTTGCTGCCTTTTCTCTATCAACTCAACTGGCCTTGACTTCATTTAATTCCCTCCCTCTTACATTAACCCAGTCCTGTACAACTCTGGGCCCAGAAACACGGCATGGGTGACAATAGAATTCTCCTTTTTAAGGCAAGGAGGGGGAAAACCTGTGATCCTTAGCCACATATACATATACATAATACATATGTATATATTGTCATAACAACATCTTATGGAATTACATTTCCCTAAATAGTAGTAGTAGTATGGGTAACCTCATCTGTATCTCTAGAGTCAGGATATCACAAAATACACCATAATCTAGGCCTGGAGTGGTGGCTCATGCCTGTAATTCGAGCACTTTGGAAGGCTGAGGCAGGCAGATCACTTGAGCTCAGGAGGTCAAGATCAGCCTGACCAACATGATGAAACTCCATCTCTATTAAAAATATAAAAATCTAAAAATTAGCTGGGCACGGTGGTGTGTACTTGTAATCCCAACTACTCAGGAGGCAGAGGCAAAAGGATCATTTGAACCGGGAGGCAGAGGTTGCAATGAGGCAAGACTGCACCACTGCACTCCAGCCTCGGCAACAGAGCAGGAAAAGAAATACACCATGGCCTGACTCCAAATGAACAGTTCAGGAACCACCTATTCATTGATATATATTGCTGCAGATCTGGAAAAATTGGTATTGATTTAAATGGATGGGTATCTAGTCCAATTGACAGCTATCTCATCACTGGGGCTACCTTATTCCTGGGGTCTCCCTCCTTCAACCTGACATCTCAGCACCAATTTCACAGGCCTGGAAATTGCCAAGGACCTGGCAATGAGTGTCAAGTATTCTCTCTTCTATTCCCCAACCCTACCTCACTGTGAACTCTGAGCGCTGGGTGATGTTCTGGGAAATGAAGGGTGAGCAGCAAGCTACAGGAGTAGAAACTCCCATTTACGACAGGGTTGCCAAATAAAATACAAGACACCCAGTTAAATTTGAATGCATGATTTACTAGTATAAAGCATGAACCAAATATTGCATGGGACATACATCTGCTTTTTTAAAAAAGTATTCATTGTGTGGAATTCAAATTTAACTGGGTGTTTCTATTTGATTCCCTCCCTAGATCTGGTAACCCTAATTTATGACATTCAGTGACAGCATATCAACCAAGAATACCTAATGCTTAAAATAAGAATTCTCAGGTATATAGTGCCTCTTGAGTTGCCCACAAAAATGTACCTAAAACATCAGAATATTTAAAAGTCATCCTCTAAGTACAGCAGGTCAGACAGAGGCAGTCTGAAGCATGAAGATGCTTAAGTATCTGAGAGTGTTTACTATAGCCAGAGACCAAGTCAGCTTGTCCTTAAAAAGTAGATGAGGTTGTAACCCTGCAAAAATTTACTTGTCAGCATTACTTGTATAGATGAGTTCAAAGTCTCTTCTCATTTCCTGGAAAAGGCGTTGGGAATTTCAAAGCAAAATAATTGCAGGAATGTTTTATTTTATTGTACTTTATTATTTTTTGAGACGGACTCTTGCTCTGTTGCCCAGGCTGGAGCGCAATGGCGTGATCTCTACTCACTGCAACCTGCGCCTCCCAGGTTCAAGTGATTCTCCTGCCTCAGCCTCCTGGATAGCTGGGATTACAGACAGGTGCCACCTTGCCTGGCTAATTTTTGTATTTTTAGTAGAGACAGGGTTTCACCGTGTTGACCAGGCTGGTCTTAAACTCCTGACTTTAGGTGATCGGCCCGGTTTGGCCTCCCAAAGTACTGGGATTAAAGGAGTGAGCCACCGTACTCAGCCCCATTTAGCTTTTAAATAATGATTTAGTCATATGGCATTAAACTGCTGTAGTTTCAATATCTGCTAAGAATTGGGGTGAGAGTCCTTTTTTCTTTTTTTCTAAGAATGATCAGGATTGAAGATAAGAAAGTGAGTTAGCCACATTAGACTATATTTATCACTTTGAATGTTCACTTTTCTACTTAAATGGTATTAGATTTTTCAAGAAAAAAAAACATGAGGTTTTGAGTACTTTTGTGATGCCTACTGCTATCACTCTTTAAATTTTCCTAGTCATTGTATTTACGTTTTATTGTAATATCTATGGTCTTTACGTTTTCTCAATTTGGCAATATAGATTTCCTTCCAATTTTAAAACATTCGCTGGCCACGGTGGCTCACACCTATAATCCTAGCACTTTGGGAAGCCAAAGCGGGCAGATCATTTGAGGTCAGGAGTTCAAGACAAGCCTGGCCAGTGTAGTGAAACCCTGTCTCTACTAAAAACACAAAAATAAGCTGGGTATGGCGGTATGTGCCTGTAGTCCCAGCTACTCAGGAAATTGAGGCAGGAAAATCACTTGAACCTGGGAGGTGGAGGTTGTAGTGAGCTGAGATGACGCCACTGCACTGGTGATAGTGTGAGAATGAGAGGCTGTTTGGTCCCCGCAGTGAGTCCAGACTAAGGAGTGTGCTAGTTCAGTTCAACAGCAGTCACCAAGGTGCTGGAAGCGCACAGCCGTTCCCCATTGCCTGAATCGTATGGGGCCCCAAACAAGCAGTTTGGGTCAATGATGAGATGAAGCCTGAGTGAACTTGGAGCATCTCAGAGATCAGAGCAGAGAAACAAGGAGATGAATTTGGGGTGTGTTCAGAGAAGTGGGGCACGGTGGGGCTTCAGGGCGAAGGTTCAGGCAGGAGCAGGTGAGGGACTAGCTTGCTGTTGTTTTCACTGAATAATTCCAAAAAGTATTTTGAACCTTCAACTCTCTGTTTGAAAAGAATGCTATGCTACTGAAATATGACTGCAGGGTTAAAGCAAGTTTGTTAAACGTCATCGAGGAAAATAAATCTAGACTCACCAGTCCTGGCGACCTCTTCCTGCATGTTCCCTCTCTCCACCCGCAAACACTGACCTGTCTGAATTCCATTCCACGTTGCTTTTAGTGTTTTTGATGTGGCGTCTGATGTGAAACACAGCAGGTCCTTCTCATCTTAACAGCCTGCTAACCTGTGCGCTCACTGAATGCCGAAGCAGTCTCTTAGATACCCTCATTTCCTACAGGGGCTGGAGCGTAGAACAAAGTGCTGTGGACATAAGTTGGCATTGAGAGTGAATTAATAAATGCAACCTCCAAATTGCTAACATTTAAAAATACTAATTAGTGGCTAGGCACAGTGGCTCACGCCTATAATCCCAGCACTTTGGGAGGCTGAGGCGGGTGGATCCCTTGAGGCCAGGAGTTCGAGACCAGCCTGACCAACATGGTGAAACCTCGTCTCTACTAAAAATACAAAAATTAGCCAGGCATGGTGGTACACACCTGTAGCCCCAGCTACTCCAGAGGCATAGGCAGGAGGATCACCTAAGCCTAGGAGACAGAGATTGCAATGAGCCAAGATTCTCCCACTGCACTCCAGCCTGGGTGACATAGCAAGATCCTGTCTCAAAAGAAAGAAAGAAAGAAAGAAAAACACCAATTAGCATAATATGATTACTCTTAAAAATAGAACGGAATCATAGAGATCCTCTTGCCATGACAGTTCTCACGCAGACTCTAGACCGAGATTGAAGTGCAAAGTTAGGGAAATGTATATTAGACTTGGGTCTCCTGAGTCAACAGTTTGGCAACCTCCACCAGCGTTAAATTAGCCATAAGAAAATAATGAAAGTCTGCCACCGTGCTCTACACATCAGGAAAAAGAACAAAATGAAATCGTACAGTCAAAATATGTCTCTCTTTTCTCTAGAATTGTTCATTTGATCTTTATCCCAAACCTTCCTTGACATGATTAAACAAAGATTGAAAACTGAAGATATGAGACACATAAAAGATTATTTGATTACCTACTCTGGTTTTTTTTGATTACCTACACATGGACAATTACACATTCCCTACAGAAATATTTTCTAGGCTGGGCGCAGTGGCTCACGCCTGTAATCCCAGCACTTTGGGAGGCCGAGGAGGGTGGATCACGAGGTCAGGAGTTTGAGACCAGCCTGGCCAATGTGGTGAAACCCCGTCTCTACTAAAAATACAAAAATTAGCTGGGCATGGTGGTGGGTGCCTCTAGTCCCAGCTACTGGGAAAGCTGAGGCAGGAGAATCACTTGAACCCGGGAGGTTGCAGTGAGCCAAGTTTGGGCACTGCACTTCAGCCGGGGTAACAGAGCAAGACTCTGTCATATATTTATACACACACATATATATTTTTTCTAGAGCTTTGTCTATTCCATCTCCAGGACTCTAAATGTCTTGAAGTCTTTTTCTGAGGAGCTTATTCCAGTTAGGCACATCTGAAATACCTGACAGTTTTTCTAAAACTTCTATTTCAATTTGTCTCATTTAAATTTTGCCCCATTACTCCTAGTTAGACCCTCTTCCCGTCACCGTCTTGTAGATAATTTTCATATTCCTTTTTGGGTATAATTTAACTATGCTTCACACATTAGCTTGAGTAGACAGTATATATGGTGTAAATTACAGAAAACAGCGATGTGTGAAGACATTCTGTGGTGAATAAATTAAGGCATTAATTTCAGACATATCAAACTAACACTTTTTAAATTTGTGGTTCCTATAATTTTCAGACCTGTTTCCAAAGGCTTTGGAATACAGGAATTAAATGAAAGAAATTAGTCTAAAATTTCTACCTTTACTTCACAGGTTGGAGATTGGTCATTCCTGATATAAATATATTCATACTTAAAAGAAAAACAAAGTTAAAAGGAGAAAGTAACATGGAGGCCCTGCTCAGATTGAAGGAGATGTCGGCACACAGGTGAAAAAGATTGGTTTTAACAGATCATCAGATATAATTGCCTTAGTTGGGCAGCTGGGAGAGAAAAAAGACTGTCCATTAGGGGAGGACTTCATCATCCACCAGGTATCCAATAATGAATCTAAATACGCTGAAGGACTGAACATATTTATAAAATGAAGGAAAGATGATGATGATGATGATGATGATTGACACGTTGTCTCACTCTGTCACCACGCTGGAGTGCAGTGGTGTGATCTTGGCTCACTGCAACCTCTGCCTCCCAGTTTCAAGCGATTCACTTGCCTCAGCCTCCCAAATAGCTGGGATCACAGGCACGTACCACCATGCCCAGCTGTTTTTTGTATTTTTAGTAGAGACTGGGTTTCACCATGTTGGCCAGATTGTCTCTATTTCTTGACCTCGTGATCTGCCCACCTTGGCCTCCCAAGGTGCTGGGATTACAGGCGTGAGCCACTGTACCCGGACATACAAAGGAAAGATTTTTAAAAAGGATAACCTCCCTTGAATTCAACCAAAATCTCTCTGTGCAAAGGAAAAACTTCCCAGCAGAGGGTTTTCTGGGATTCTGGAATTTCAGACTTCCACACTGATAGAGAATTAAAGACACGGAGCTGCCACTGAAACACACACACACCACCACCACCATCACCGCTACACATTCTTTTTCCATAGTGATGTTACAAGAAAGGGGTCCACATCCAGACACGGAGAGGGGGTTCTTGCTTCTCATGCAAGGAAGAATTCAGGGGAGTCCGTTGAGTAAAGTGAAAGTTTACTAGGAAAGTAAAGGAATAAAATAATGGCTACTCCGTAGACAGAGCAGCCCCAGGGGCTGCTGGTTGCCTATTTTCATGGTTATTTCTCAATTATATGCTAAACAAGGGGTGGATTATTCAAGCCTTCCCTTTTCCGACTACATAGGGTAACTTCCTGACCTTGCCCAGGGCATCTGTAAACTGTCATGGCACTGGAGGGAGTGAAGGAGTGAGGAGGACCAGAGGTCACTTTCGGGGCATCTTGGACCGGCTTTTTACTGCAACCTGTTTTATCAAGAAGGTCTTTATGGCCCGTATCTCGAGCCGACCTCCTATCTCATCCTGTGACTTAGGAATCACAGGGAATGCAGCCCAGCACGTCTCAGCCTCATTTTACCAAGCTCCCATTCAAGATGGAGTATGGTTCACATGCCTTTACAGTGAAGGTTGGGAAAGAATCAAGTCTATCTCTGTTCTGTTTTTTCTTTATAGTATTTATCACTGATCCCACATTTGTACTGTATTTATTGTCTAGCTCCCCTGGCTTTCCAAGTAGAATTTAAACTCCAAGAGGACAGATATTGTGTTTTGTGTTGTTCACTTCTGAACCCTCCCTCCCAGGCCTAGAAGACTGCCTGGCTCATCCTAGGTAGTCAATAGATATCGGTTGAAGGAATGAATCCATTACTTGGCACTGATTCTCTATTTATAGAATCAAACACAGATATGCATACTTCTCTGCTAAAAAGAGCTAGATAAGAAAACAAAAACTTATTATACTATGGGAAGAAGTTCTTAAAATTCCTAATGGTAGGCTTTGAGATCATATTAATCCTTAATAAATAAATCAGGAAGCAGCTTAAATCTGACAATCTTTTCTTTTTTTTTTTTTTGAGACAGAGTCTCCCTCTGTCACCCAGGCTGCAATGCAGTGGCATGATCTCGGCTCACTGCAACCTCTTTTGCCTCCAAAATTCAAGTGATTCTCCTGACTTAGCCTCCTGAGTAGCTGCGACTATACGTATGCACCACCGCACCAGGCCAACTTTTGTATTTTTGGCAGAGACAGGGATTTCACCATGTTGGCCAGGCTGGTCTCGAACTCCTGACCTCAGGTGATCCACCTGCCTTGGCCTCCCAAAGTGCTGGGATTACAGGTGTGAGCCACTGTGCCCACCCAGATCTGACAACCTTCTTAAAGGCACTAGAGATGAAGCTCCATGAGGGCACAGGCTGTGTCTTGCTTGTCTTTTTATGTTAGCTTATCACATGGGCCTGGTATCAGGAATGAATAAGAGCCGAGTGGAAGAGCTGACATAGATCACGTTAGCCCCTGGACTAAGCACTTCCAGGCATCAATTCATTCACTCTTCACAATATATGAGAGGTACAATTTGTATCCCGGTTTCCAAGTGAAGAAAATAAGGCATAAGAGAATACAGAACTGCCAGTCAGTCTTCAATGGCTCGCCTCTCCACTCCAGAGCCATCCTGCTTTGTGACCCTAGAACTGGCGGCTCGTTAGGTCTTGTCAACAGAGGGCACCAGAGGGACGCCGCAGGGCCACAGCCTGGGGAAGCCCCTTCCTGTGCAGGATCTGGTCCTCCATTGTTCCTGTTCATTGCGGGAACTCAGGGGCCAGCTCCGTGGAGCTCCAGCTGCATGCTCAGGCCACAGTGATCTTGCAGGTAGCTCCTTCTGCAGACCAGCTCTGGCCCTCGCCTTCTGGAAAGTCGTTTGCTTCCAGCAGGCTGCGTGTTCTTAAAAAATGAACTGAATCCCCACCTGGGGGTGGGGTGGGGAGGGGTGAGGGGCCCTCCTCCTCCCTCCTTCCTTTAGCATCCTCTCTCCCTCAGTAAAAGGTAGTGGCTGCCTCTGTGCACCTGCTACTTCTGTACCCCTGAGACGCCTCTTTTAGTAACTAACCATCTTCTAAGAGTTAACAATTCTTTACATTAAATTTTCCCTGGATATAGTACGGGCAGGGTAATGCAGTGTATCAGATACAGAATTGGCCAGGATTGTACCACCACGAAGTGATAAACCTGAGTTTCAAACCCAGGAAATCTCCAGAGTATATGCCACAAACTCTTATGCTACACTGTCACAAACATTTGGGATAAAACTGGAGTTAACACTGCCTGCAGTCTGAATACTTCTAATGCTGCAGGAGGTATTTCCTTACCTAAGAGTTTCATTCATTGCAATAATGAGAACTGCAATATCACGGTAAGGTGCTCAATTTCATCTCAGATATGGCATGGACTAATACCAAATGACCCTAAATTTTAATTTTTCAAATCACTTTCACATGCAGGATTTCACCTGCAAACAACTTTGCAGAGTTGATAAGGCACATGTTATTCTTTCTATAGATAAAGAAACTGAAGCTTACAAATAATAGAAATTTGCATGGTGAGTGGTAAGCAAGTCTCCCTAAACCCATCCAGAATTTTGTCTATAATATCACTGCCTTGTTTTAGGGTTTAGTTGCTGCAGAGTCAATTTCACTGGGAGGAAGAAAAAGAAATCCCGAAAAGATCTCTACATCGTAATACTTGGAGCTGTGAATGTTGCCTTAGTTGGGAAAAAAGGGGTGGGGGTGCAGTTGTGATTAATTAAGGATCTTGTGAAAGGAGATTATCCTGGATTATCTGGGTATGCCCTAAATGTCATTGTAAGTGTCCTTATAAGAGATGAGGAGGAGACTTGCACACACAGAAGATGATGATGTGAAGACAGGGAAAGCAAGGCAGAAATTGGAGTGATGCGCCCATAATCCAAGGAATGCCAGTGGCCTGCAGAAGCTGGAAGAGGAAAGAACAA